GAGTGTTTTTGACAGAGTGCATGAGAGAGAATCTTTGTGCGCGTATTGTGTGTTTGTGTGTGTGTGTGTGTGTGTGTGTTTGTGAGAGTGCATATTATGTGTGTGTGTGAGAGATAGATAGAGAGAGAGAGAGAGAGAGAGAGAGTGCATTTGTGTGCACTATACCTGAGAGTTTATTATCGGGGGGTTAGCAGACAGTATTTTAAATACAGTGACTTCAGAGGAGACCGTTCAATAGTTTTAAGAGTTATTTCCCTTGTTAATTTCCCGAAATTTTGTTGTATTCAACTGTTTCAAGTTTCAATTTGCTTGCATTTTGATTGTTTGAAAGCTGATGTGTGCAGTTCTAAATGTGTAGATCTAGAGTCTACTGTGTCATGCTTGATACTGAGTTTTAGCTTTTGACGACTCGTTGTGATGTACTGGGGAAAGGCAAGAGAATAATATGCAGTACATATTTATAAAATTGAATGCAATGAAACAATGTTTCCGTGCCGTGTCAGCAGTACTATTAGATATCTAGAATCTAGATCTAGATTCTAGATATAATTAGATCTAGATTATAGATTCTAGATCTAGAAAATCTAGAATCTAGATCTAGATATATCTAGATCTAAATCTATATAGATATATATTACCGGCCGCTTTTTTTTTTAAGCCTTATCGGTGGGCGCCTCCGAGAAATGAAGACTGCTGGCCAGGATCAATTCTGGAAAGGAATGTAGAAAATGTAGCCTAAGCCGCATGCCGCATGTAGCCTGTTTCGGGTGAACCAGCAGATTTCGCATCTTATCAATCAGTCCTATCCATATTCTGCACATAAAATGATCGGTGCTTTTTCGGTAGTTCCCACCCCCCTTATTTGAGCCTGACCTACATCTAGATTCTACCTATACGTTTGATTCGCGGTGACCTAAGATATCAAACCTAACAACAACAAAACATTAAATTTAAATTGTGGTAAAATTCAGGTGGGCATGCCCCCCTGAAACCCCCCTATTCTTGGGGCAAAAACCCGTGAATAACAATTGCGGGGTGGGAACTACAGAAAAAGCGCCAAATGATCTTGGTGTCATTTTGGTAAAACCGGCCGCTTTTTGTAGCTTTAAGGTCAAACCAGCCGCCCATCTTAGTCAAACCGGCCGCCCTTCATGGATGTTAAAAAACACTGTTTCACTTTATTTTTTCCCTTGCCTTGGATAAATAACTAATTAGGCTCAATTGGCCTTGCCTGGGCATTGTCATTGATCAATTTGGGGTTTGATTCCAGCATACTAGATCTATACCAAGGAGCTTGAAAGACTCTTTCCAGAAATTGACAAAATATTTCCTTTCACCAAAGACGACCTGTCAATACTGTCATCATACACAACTCGCGCATCATCGTCATCCGGACTTGAACTTTCTTCCACTCTCCTCTTCTTGCCCTTCCCTTTCATTGCTGCCTCCTTCTATTCTCTTCCAACCTTTCCGCTTTCTTTTACAAGTTCTATCTCCAGGAGGCCAATCCTGACAAATTCGAGCTATCCGTGTTATACTGTATCAATTACTATTTGGCCACCTCTATTAGATTCTCACCCCGGGTGAGAATAGAATAGTGCAGGCGAGTCTTTTGGCTATTCTCACCCGGTGCGCGTTCACCGTATAGCCTAGATTTAGGCCAACCAATTTTACGTTCACCCTAAACCACAGAATTCTACACTGTGATAGCAGAAAAATTGTAGAATTCTGTGCCGTGAACAAACGTTCCATTACTACTGTTAGCCTACTAAAAGCGTACAATTTTGTCTGTGGGCAGTGGAGAGAGAGAGAGAGAGAGGAGTAGCGCAAGAACTTCCGGGCAAAACAAAATGGCGACCCGCGTAGTTCGGCTCGATTCGAAAAGTTAAATAGCCGTAGCATCTTTGTAGACGACCAAATTAATTTACTTTTGTGTTTTAACATCATTTTTTAACTTTGTTTTGGTCAATTTGATCGTCCACACCGATAGACAGTATTCAGAAAGAGACAGAGAGAGAGAAGAGGAGAGGAGTAGATCTTGCGAGAACTTCCGGGCAAAACAAAATCGCGACCCCCGTAGTTCGGCTCAATTTGAAAAGTGAAATAGCCATAGCATCTTTGTACATTCTATAAAATTAGCTTACTTTTGTGCTAGCCTATAATAACGTAATCTTTTCTTTGCCTTTATCCATTTGATCATCCACATCGATAGAAAGTATTCCGAAATTAGGAAAAACAGGTCTTGTTTCACACCGGGTGAGAATAGCCTACGCTGGCAAGTCTCTCCCGGGGTGAGAGGTCGATCGTATTTCTATTCTCACCCCGGGTGAGAATAGCCACTTCCTTCTATTTTAAAAAGACAGATTGTATTTTTTTCAGCAAAAGCGACGCAAATAAATAAACTTTCTGATAATACCAATTTAACTCCACGTCTAAAAAATTGAGGAGCGCCTGATTCCAACGTGTCGTGACACAAGAAAATGTTTTCTTCAGATGGGATCATGCCATATATAGCATTACGTAAATTGACATTTGAGTTTGAGCTTACCGCCTGAACTTATACATGCACCACATGTTGGGTGGGTAGAGGTAGACGGGTACGTAGAGCCTATTTATAAGGCCTCATCGAGTGGGTTCACATCAAACTTAACTTTAAAATTGTTGGTGCTTTTGTTTCCCCGACCATTGCACAAGGTTTAAGTTTTTAAGAAATTTTTCTTTTACACTTTTTGTTACTGTGAACTTTTCATTATTTTATAATGCCTTAACCTTGCTACTCTATTACCATGTTTCAAATCCTATTATTTTGGTATCCTGTCTGCTGTTACAGTATGTTCATTTCTAAAGATTTTTTTCGTTGTTTACAGTGTAGCTGGTGGCAGGGCTAAGTGGACTTGAGCTTCTACAACAAATGATCCAATCATGAAGGTCCTGACTTGGAATATAAACGGCATCCGAGCTGGAAGGGGAAAGACCTCCTTGAAGGTTCTCCTGGATTCTCTGGCAGCAGACATTATTTGTCTTCAAGAAACCAAAGTTACCCGTAAGTCTTTAAGAAATGTAATCTGAAAAGCAACATTTTTATTTTAGATTGCCAACCGGACTCATTTGACAAATTTGAGAACTAGTCTTCTTATTTTTATGACTTCAGAGTTGAAAATGGTCTGAACCTGAATGTGCTTGAAAAGGGTTTTGTTCTCAAGTAAGTTTTTATTAAATATATTTTATATGTAGAACTTTTTTCATGAATTTTTCATAGTTTTGATTTTGAGTAAATCCCCCCCCGCACACAAAAAAAAAAAAATCCTTCCAAATGTCTTGATTTCTTCTCAGGTTATAGGCCTAATCATAATGATTTATTATGATTAATATCTTAGAATTTTATTTTTCTGATTTACACTGTAATATTTAATGACCTGTTGGTACCTTCTATAACTGTAAGAATGTCATTGTTGGTCTCTGTTTGGTTTTGGCGTAAATGAGCCTGAAGGATTATCACAAGTCATTTGGTATATATATAATTTCTTTATATTATATTTCAGGTGATATGCTGGATGAACCAACAGCTATTGTTGATGGCTATGAAGCTTATTTCAGTTTTTCACGAAAACGAACTGGATATTCTGGTAAGGTTTGATGTAATTGCAGAGAACTTTACTAAATTTCGTCACAGGGGAACCACATTAATGCAACACGCTTTCAAACTTATGGCCTGTGTGAAAATTTATGTGCATGTAGATCAGTTCCTACACAGTATTATATGTGAGGCAGCGTGGTGGAATTAGGCTCTCGTCAAAATAGACAAATTGAAGAAACCTGCATTTTTCCACAGGTTTGTGAATTTTTATCAAATTTTTGTTTTTTTGGCTCAACCCCTTTCATGCCCATTAAAGAACTCATTTCTTTGTGGATTTTTCTGAAAAAGGTTGATTAAAGGCACAAAATATGTAAATTTTCAGTTACCATGGATTCTTCAAATAAGGGAATGACTAATCTTTGGCTGCCATTTTGTCATTAATTTTAACTCTGAAAACAGGTGACCCCCACCTCCTTCATTTGCAAATATCTCGAATTGTATTCAAGATAAATGGATATTTTTTTCATCCAAATAATAACAAGTGAACAAGCTTTAAGTTGATACCAATAACTCTACATGCCCAAAAATTGACGAGAGCCTGATTCCACCACGCTGCCTCACATATTATAGTGAGACAGGGTTGAATGAACTTTATATTCAGAGCAGGAAAATTTGTTTTGCTTTGCTGAGAAACACATATAGTGGAATCTGCTCAAACGGCCACCTGTTCAAGACAGCGCCTGTACAAATGACCACTTCTCACTCCCCCCTTGCGTTTATTCGTATATTTACTGGCGGTGTCATCTCTGGGTAAGAGGTTGATGTGCAATGACCCACCTGCGCTTACTGTTATTATCTGCCATAACACTCTGTCGTACTTTATCATACGAAGGCCAGTCCATGCGTTGATATTATCGGTCAACATTGTTCTTTGTCCACCCTTGCCCCTTTATCCCTCACATCATGAACACAACTTCAAGAATTTTCTTCGTAATGGTCTGGTGCGTTGTATATGACCAAAGCATAGTATTTTTCTACTCGTCAGTTTGCCAAGCAGTCTAACACACTTAATTGTTAGTCTTTTTAGCTTTCCCGCTGAATCTGGCCATTCTGAGGTAGCCCCCCACATCTCAAACACGGCTATTTTGTTGTCTTCTCTCGGTCTCTGTCAAAGTCCACATCTCTGGCACCATAATATAGGAAAATGGGGAAGATATAGCTCTCCACCAATATCTTCCTTAAGGGGAAGACCCCTAAAATCACCCCCAAAATCAAAATTCGGCTCAAAATCATGGAATTTGCGTTGTAAGCATTTTTAGCTTCCTCAGCCTCTCCTACAACTATTTCATGGCATAAGTACCCCCAAAAAACATATTTTTTCCCATACCAAGCATGTTTGTAACCGCCATTTCCTCATAAAGTCAGTATTTTATTTTTCTTTATCGGCCGTTTTCTCAAAATGCGACTTTTCTCTATACTTTTTTGAATAACTCCACCATTTTTCATCCAATCTTCATGAAATTTTCACAGAATGAAGAGAAGAGGTAATATTAAATTTTGTATGTTGAATT